GAAAAGAATAAAATGAAACAGAAAAACATAATTACACATAAGCAACGAAAATTGAAACATCAAATCAGGAATTAATTTCTAAAATTGTAAATCAAACACAAGGTCAGTGCAGGTCAAAATATACAGTAATACACAAAAACAATGAACACGGGAGAGAAAATATGGCGTAAGTTCAATAGTAAAGAAAACAAAGATTAGCGAAGCATTCATTTTTACTTTGTTTTTATCCAATGATGTACATCTATTGTTTGTTTTTGTACATTGGAAGTTAGATTTACRTAATTTTATGTTCTGATTCATGCAACACTAGAGAAGAAAGAAGGTAGACTTATTTTCTTTTTTTCCGCCCCCGTTACTATATCTAAGTAATTCAGTACATTTACCTTGCATTTGTGCAGGACGTGGACCTGAGTCCAGATCCCAATGAGATCAAAAGCCACTGCTACGTGAGTAAAGAAGAGCTGAAAGCCATGTTGGAAAAGGCCAAGCGCAAGGAGCTGGAGATCACCCCCTGGTTCAGCCTCATCGCAGACACCTTCCTCTTCAAGTGGTGGGACAACCTGCACAACCTCAAGCAGTTCATGGATCACAACAACATCCACCGCATGTGACCACCATCAGGGTCCACACCCGGCAGTTCCAATAAAGACTGTCCCCCTGCTGGACTGGGTTTCAGCTGGGAGCTGAGGTCGAAACACGTGTTACCTACTTCTGTCATGAGACGCATGCAGAAGGTTTTTAAGGTCCTGGAATGTTTTTATCCAGCATGGAGGTCACGTTCACAGGTGTCCGTTCAGTCGGATTTCAAATGTTCAGATTTGTTATGTAGAAACCTGCAGAGTTCTTGACAGTCCTTCTGAAATCAGGTATTTTTCTATGAAAATGCTAAAGTGCCTGGTAGCAGGTCATTAAGCTGAGATGATTTACTCTGAAATGTAGATAATATCAGTGAACAAATGGTCTTTTTAACTTTTACAAAATAAAATGTTTTACTGTGTTTGCTTGACAGTGAATGGTTTTATTTTGACTTTGCAGAAATTAGTCCTTACAGCTCAAGCTTGACTGCAAAAGAGTGAACAGGAAAGTACCAACGTGTGCTTGAAGAGCTACTTTTCCCTCCACTCAACTTATTCAACACGCTCTATTTTCATGACCACGTTTAATTATAGAAATGGAACATATGACAGCTGTGACTGAGTGTGCAGGATTCTGAGGGTTCAAAGGCAGAAATAGGAGGAGAAATATGCTTAACTCATTAAATGAGACATAATGGTGACTTATTACCATTTATTATTCAATGTGGTAAATAGCCTGCACTTATATAGAGCTTCATCAAGTCCAAGGACTCCAATGTACTTTACACTAGTCAATTATACACAGATTGTGGTAAACTACATTGCAGCTGTAATGGGGCAGACTGACAAAAGGCTGCCAAGCAGCGTCTTGCTCAAAGACTGAGATGGAGCAGGGGTTTTAAACTGGCAACCCACACAGGTCAAACTCCTACCTCGTGTCACCACTGTTGTTAAAGCAACTTTGAAAATTTAAATATTGTCTGCTGCTGAACTGTGAAAATGATGTTTTTGCCTTCGTAGGTTCATCTAATGAACCATCAGACAAAATTTACAGAAAGTTGCATAAAGTATTCACTGGATGTACATCTGCAACCAATTAACCTCTGGCATCACAAGGTCCAGCATTTAGTCTTTTTTCTAGGTGTAACCAAATCAGCTCCACCATTTTTAACAAAGATTTTATTGTAAACCTCTGTAATGAAAAGAAGTGGGTGATATGCATTCCCTAAAGGAATGCTAGACCTTCATTTTAGG